TTGACACACTAAGCTTGAGTCATGAGATTTAAATCTGTAGCTCCACACATCTTCAGCTACAGAACAGAAGTCCAGTTGCTTCATGTTCTTTATTTTAATTTTCCATGTCCTGGATGACTGATAACCCACAGAAAAGTACAATAATAAYGTGGAGCGGTCACAGGTCGTCTAAATGCTAAAGTTACTCACTTGATACTTTGAAAGTTTAAACGTGACTCTGCCTGCAGTCAAAGGGCTACACTCACACTGGGTCCTTCCTGTGGAGCCAGCAACAGCAGAGGCAGAAGCTCTTACTGTTGCCAAGCCCCAGGGCACTAAACCCTCAGGTTGCCCAGGGCCCAACACACAGGCATCAGGTCTTGAGGAAACCCCCCCACCAAGAAGGTGATAAGGCTGTGGTTCGAGGACAGCAGTGAGGCCCTGAGAGACTGTTTTGAAGGTACAGACTGGCAGGAACTCTGCAGGCCTCATGGCGAGGACATTAATGCCCTCACCCATTGCATCACCAACTACATGACCTTCTGTGTGGAGAACACTGTGCCAACTAAGAAGGTACAGTGCATCTCCAACAATAAACCATGGGTGACCCCAGAGCTGAAGGCTCTGCTGAACGAGAAGAAGAGGGCCTTCAGATCTGGCAACAAAGAGGAACTGAGGAGAGTGCAGAAGGATCTCAAATACAAGATCCGGAGGGGCAAAGAAAGCTTCAGGAAGAAGATGGAGGAGCAGCTCCAACAAAACAAAGTCGGAGAGGTCTGGAGAAACATGAATAAAATCTCTGGCCACTTCAAGGACAATGTAGGAACCACAGGGCCTACAGATTGGGGGGGGGTGGGCTAACAACCTGAATTTGTTTTTCAATAGAATTGACTCTGGCACATTGACCACCTCCCCTGTCCCCCAGCTCCCAACTAGCCCCCACCATATGCTGCTCCCCCACTTTCTGCTTCCTGCACTCTCTTCACCTCCACCCACAACAGAACCAGCCCCACCTACCACTCCAACCCAGCCTCACATTCACCTCACAGCTGATCAGGTGAGAAGTCAGCTCAGGAAAACAAAGATCAGGAAGGCAGCAGGACCAGATGGAATCAGCCCCAGACTGCTCAGGGACTGTGCAGACCAGCTCTGTCAGGTGGTCCTGCACATCTTCAACCTGAGCTTGAGTCTGGAGAGGGTCCCTGATCTGTGGAAGACTTTCTGCGTGGTTCCAGTGCCTAAGATCACACATCCCAGGGAGCCCAACCACTACAGACCGGTGGCTCTGACTTCTCATCTGATGAAGACCATGGAGAGGCTCATCCTGCACCATATTCATCCTGTGATGAGCCCAGCACTGGACCCCCTGCAGTTCTCCTACCAGCCCGGCATCGGGGTGGAGGATGCTATCATCTAGCTGCAGCACAGGGCATGGTCCTCTCACCCTTTCTGTTCAGTCTGTACTCGTCAGACTTCAGGTACAACTCGGACCACTGCCACCTTCAGAAGTTCGGATGATACGGCCATCATTGGATGTGTATCAGACGGGAATGATGAGGAATACAGGGGGGTCATCAGTGACTTTGTTGGCTGGTGTGAGACCAACGCTCTCCAAATCAATGCCAGCAAGACGAAGGAGATGGTCACAGACCTCAGGAAGAAGTCACCCCCCACAGCACCGGTGAACATCCAGGGAAAAGACATTGAGACAGTGGACTCATACAAGTACCTGGGTGTTCACCTCAACAACAAGCTGGACTGGACCAAACACAGACATCTTGTATAAGAAGGGCCAGAGTCGACTCCACCTACTGAGGAGACTGAGGTCCTTCAGTGACCGCAGGACTCTGTTAAAGACATTCTACAACACGGTGGTAGCATCTGCCCTTTTTCTATGGAGTGGTCTGCTGGGGGGCTGGATGTACTGAAAGGGACAGGAACAGGATGGACAAACTGATACGGAGGTCAAGCTCTGTGCTGGGATGTCCTCTGGAGCCTGTGGTTGTGGTGGGTGAGAGGAGGATGTTGGCAAAGCTGACAGCCATCAGGGACAACCCCCACCACCCTCTGCATGAAACCGTGGGGGGGCTGAGCAGCTCCTTCAGTCAGAGACTTAAACATCCTCGCTGCAGGAGGGAGTGCTTCTGTAGGTCATTCATTCCAACTGCAGTTAGACTGTATAACACATCACATCATCATGATGTCATCAGTTAGACTGTATAAAACATCATGATGTCATCTGTTAGACTGTATAACACATCATGATGTTGTTAGTCAT